ACAAAAGTGCACGAAAATATATTTACATATTTTTAAATTTTTTATTTTAACTCTACTGTTGTTAAACGGTTCGATTCGAACCAATTTGTTTTCTAAAAAAAGGCTAACTCAATATTTTATCCAAAAAAAATATTACGCAAGTCTGAAGATTTTACTCATATATGGCACAAAGGTTTAGACATCTAAGCAAAAGCTCTAGGTTTAGGCAATCTTTTTCTGACTTGAGATAGCCGTCTTTTAATAATCGGCTCAAAAAGAGCCGTTTAACAACACTATTGCACCTCAAATCTTATAGAATAAGAAATAATTCAGTTAGAAAATAAAGAGAATCCTCAGAATATTTTTTAGAATAAGATTTTTTGTACAAATACTTTGAATTGAATCAAGTAATAAAATCCCAAACAAAATCCTCCATTAATCAGAACTATATAACTGCATTAATGACACTGTCTAAATCAAGTGATTTGGATTATAAGCAGACTATACTGACATATTTTACCCAATATTAAAATAGTGTACTGAATAATTTCTTTAATTTTAAAAGATAAATGTGACATTATTACAAAAAAATATCATCTAAATAATATTTGCAACAAAATAATATAAATATTTTCTAAAAGCTAAATTGTATTAGATAGAAATTTAGTGTATCAAATAATGAAAGCTATAATTTTTAAAAATATGTATTTGAGAGTCCCATTTATAAGGTAGGATTCATCCATCCATTTACCCATCAGCTGCTATAGAAATGGGGGTGTTGACTGAGCCCACCAAAAAAAATTGTCTTTCAAACTTGGTCTCCAAATTTATTTCTAATATTACTTATAAAAAAAAATAACTACAAAAATATACTTTTGGCTCCCTAAAAAACTTTTGAACACCACCATCTCACTTTCATCTAATGTTTTTCTGGCTTTGGGCTTGTTTAATTTAGCAGGACCCAGAATAATATGTGGGAACACATTTAAACTTCATTATAATATTTGAGGGTGGGGAGAAGGGATTAATTAGTAAAGTATGAATATCAAATAAGCCCATGTTTAAGAATATGTGAGATAAAACACCTAAAATAAAGGTATTAAAGTCTAGGAGCATCATGTTGTTAATAACAATTATAATAGGCTTAGGTATTGAATAAAATGTAGGTACATTGTTTGGCATGAGAATATCCTCAAAATGTAATCAATAAGCTTAATTGGGGGAAGGGGGGTATTCCATCATTGTTCAAGAGTTAGATGTAGCATTTTTATATAATATTATTTTAGCTAAAATTTTAGTTGGGTCATTTTAGAATATTTATTTTTTAAAAGAAATGATGGTGAAGGTCAAAAAGGAGGGATATATGTATGATAATGATAATACATTATATAAATTTCAAAGAAATATTCAGTTACATTTATATTTGGGATGAGAAATATACTTTTTGGTAATGTCAAAGTGGCTATTTCTGGATTTCTTTTTTTGAATCCAAAGAACCAATCCTCCCCAGCCATTTTGTTGTTAACCCAAGAATCGGGGCATTTTAAGGAAAACTTTTGAGTTATTTCATAAGCTAATATCCTTATCTATATTTAAAGTTAAAATACAGTTTTCTTTAACTAACCAAGATAACGAATATATAATTAAAATTTTGTTTCGATAATCTTCTAGGTTAATAAATAATTATATAAATTATTAAAAATATTTTCTTTAAAAAAAAAAGTGAATGACTTGTTTTGCACTCAATGCACTCTGTAATTCTGAACATTTCAATATATGATCCCGTAAAACAGACTCCTGTTTGTCGTTGAATATTTTCTTGCTAGCGTAATTACACTCCGGAAAATCATCAATACCTGCTTCCCTCTGCTGTGTCCATTTACTAAGATATCTCTTCAAAGTTGTCTTAGATACTTGAAATTTGTTAGCGGCCGAATTAACGCTCGTGTTATTATCGCGTTTATATATGGCAGCTTCTTTGATAGACTGATAACTGACTATTCGCTTAAAACTCCGTATACGATTGCGAACCATTATAATTTTATATGTAAAAAAATTTAATCGTGCTTTAAAGTGGAAGTTATCAGAAAATGAGATGATTGGCAATATTTATCGTCATATGTTTTAAAGTTTACGTTAATGTGAATGTGATTCAAAAATATATATGATTAAACAAATTTAAAAATTCATAGGGATAATTAGATAATCAAAAAATTTGAAACATATTAATATAAAAATAAATAATTAAAGGCTAATTTTTAAATTTTTCGATAGTATATCTAATTATTATCTATTACCCAACACTCAGTGGTGAAGCTACGGGGTTGGTTTTCGGGTTTGGACCCCTCCCAGAGCAAAAATTTTTTTTAGATTATACGTTCAAAAGACTTAAAAGTGACTTTATATCAAATAAATACCATTAATATTTATATTTGTCTGGTTTTGATGTTTGTGGAGGGATATTATTTTACTATTGAAATTATTCTGGATAGTATTAATATAAAGTCATTAAGAATAATCTACTAAATTATAATAATATATTATTGATGCATTTAAAAATATTTTTATTATATATTATCGAAGATATGGTTATTATTTGTAAGATAGGCGAAGCCACCCCCCCCCCCCCAGGCTTTTATATGTATGGACCCCCTCTAAGGAAAATTTCTAGCTACGCCACTGCCAACACTTAATATTTTTAATATATATTTGCCAAATTATGATAATTATATGACTAAAAATTTGGTACTATAAATTAAGATGTTCTGTCATTTTTATATCACAAAGATACCTAGACATCTTCTTAGAATGTTTAAAAAAAATAATGAGGTGTAAAATGAACAGAAACCATTTTTTGCTAATTTTTAAAAATGTTATTGTTTGGGTTTAGGGTATAATCTTATTGAGGGAACTTGGCATCAGTGGTTTAGAACCTCCTGCCACCCCCCCCCCACCCACTTATAAACTTTCATGCAGATATCAATACCTATCTGCGGCATATCAACCGCTATCATATGCTTCGATAAGAGATACTACTGTTAGATTTTCAAACAAGTCTATTTGGTTAATTTTTTGATTTTAATTGCCTACAAAATTTTTTAATTAAATTTTTTCGAATATTTTAAAAATTAGGGGAAATAATTGTTATATTTATATGTTATTCCATTTTTTATAATTAAGCGGTAATTTGAATATATGAACCAGAATTATTTTGTTATATAATTATTTTCGTTTTGAATATTCTTAATCTAGTTTTCGACGATTGTAATTTAATATTTAGAAATATTTAAATATTTAGTTTTAGAAATATATTATTATATGATGAACTTTAATTTACTTTCAATTTTTTTTTTGCATATTAAAAATTTATATAAATTCACGAATGATTTAGTAAATTTTTAGTGTAAATTGTTGAAATCTCTAGTGAATAAAGCCATATAATAAGCTCGGTAATTTGCCATGTAGCTTTTAGTAATTCTCCCTTAAATCCTTCGATAGATATATTACAATTATAAGGAATTATTACAATAATAATAAAATATCTTATAAGGGAAAATGTATTTCAAAATGAGACCCGTATTAAAAACATATAAAGATAAATAAATTTATATGAATATGAATAAAAATCGTCATTTGAGCTGATTCTATCATTTTTAAAATAAAGATCCAGGGTACCCTTTGATCTGGGGAAACTATTTTCTAATAAATCTTTGAAAAAAATGGGGGCCTTGGGGTCTTAAGAACACTGTTTCCTGTTGGAATAAATAAACTATTGGTAGAAAAATAAAAACGGCAGTTATAATCTGATTATTGTGTTTGGGTCATAGAATCAACGAGACGCCTCTTAAAGTGTAAAAAATAGTAATTATATTGCATAAAAAAATTTAGAACCCTTAAATCGATACAGTTTTGGAGTGTCATATACTTAGCCGAGATATTCAAAAATCGGATATGTTTATTCCAAAAAGATTCTATATTGTCATAATTTTAAAACAAGCGGCGTTACTAGGGAAAAACTTTTGATGACACCTGTCAACTTTTTTGAAGAACCGTTTAAAAAAATAACTCCGATTCTGAGCATCCTTTGATCCTCGGGCAAAATGAAAAGTCAAGTGAAGACCCTGGCTCATTAAATAATAATAAAAAAATAGTAAAGTAATTTTTGCAGTTTGAAATTTTTAGTAAATTTTAAGAATTATAAAAAACAAATTTATAATGAAATATATTGAAATTGTTTCTTAGATGACGCGAATAGGATTAATACAGTTTTCCCGTTCGTTTGGAGATAGTAATCATTTTATGAATTCAAATCTGGTTCTGCCTAATATTTTTCACATAAATTTTTAGATTCATCTTGCCCATTATTGCTCGTTCATACACAGTTGGGGAGATTTGGGAATTATTTTATTTTATTTATTTATTTATTTTTTATTAAATAATAATAGCAAGTTGTTTAATCGTATTGAATCGGAATACAGAATTTAGAAATAAAAGCCTCATATAAATTTCAAAGATCTGTAAAGATCATCATTTCAAGCCCGGTCTAGCTTCATTTCCGCTCCTGGACTTAACCACAGTTTCAACTAATAAAAAAAAAATTGATATGGAGAATCGTGGAGCTGAAAAATGAAGTCAAAAAAATTTGGAATTTTTTAAATCTATTGTAGCCAGTTAAAAATTTCTTTTATTTTAAAATCTCTGAAAAGAAAAGAAAAGAAAAGAAAAGAAAAGAAAAGAAAAGAAAAGAAAAGAAAAGAAAAGAAAAGAAAAGAAAAGAAAAGAAAAGAAAAGAAAAGAAAAGAAAAGAAAAGAAAAGAAAAGAAAAGAAAAGAAAAGAAAAGAAAAGAAAAGAAAAGAAAAGAAAAGAAAAGAAAAGAAAAAGAAAAGAAAAGAAAAGAAAAAAAAAGAAAAGAAAAGAAAAGAAAAGAAAAGAAAATAGAAGACAAATTTTACTTTATTATTTAGCCAAAATGAGATTTTATGTTTATTTACAATCATAATTTTTATTTCGACACTCGCATTTAATGAATACGAACTTTATACAATAAATAGTCCATTCCTAATATATCATCTCCCTCTATGTAATGAAAGCTAATGGGGTACTTGGAGCAGCAATTGACACCTTTCAAACTTTTGTCTACATCAAAGCGACCGTACCATTCAGTGTAAACTCCTTTTATGTGGTAACCCGGAGGGAATACCATGAACCGCTCTTTTCCTTCGTCATCGCGCGTATCGACTATCTCGCAACCCACTCTATTGAGGCAGCGGGCTATTTTCCAGTCTTCCCCGGCCCCGTCCGGGATGCAGGTTTCGCGGGACGAAGAATTCGTTAATTCGCCGTATAGCAAAAAGAGGCACTTATTGGTCAGGATATAGCCGCTCCCTCCGCTGGCATATTTGATTTTGTATTCCCGTTGGATGACAAATCGGTGACCGTAGAATTCGCTGGAATCGGGATTTTTGGTGTCGAGGAACTGTCTCAGATTTTCGACTATCACATAGGTGTCGTCGTCCACTTTGTAATAAAAGTCAAAATCGGGATAATTGTCGCGGATAAATATCCACGCGTTTTTGACCTTGCGCGCGTTCAGGCGTTTACTCTCCGCCTTGGCGAGGTCATCGTAAACTCCTATGGTCGGAAAATCGGGATCTTCGATCGTGCTCATGTATAAGGTCCTGTCGCACCTGGGACCCCACGTTTGTTTGATGTATATAGTTTTTTTTGGTAAATTTCTGGGGTTAGTTAGGATCCAGCATAGTATACGAGATTCTTGTGATTTTTGGGTAGATTAAAATAAATTAGAAAATAAGACAAAGAAAGAAAAGAAAGAAAATTAAATGAAAAGATAGATTTTTTTTAAAATAAAAAAAACATTTTAAGAGAAATAATTTAGTGGTTCTTGTAAAAAAAATAGTAAAAAAATAACCACCCTCACCCTCAACCCTGTCAATACTCAATCTGAAAGTAAAAACCCTTTAACTATAAAATTCCCTTCAAATTCTTTATTTAATAATATCACAAATTGATAATATAAAAATTAACATTCATATGAAAACAAGTAAACAATAATTCTCCAAATTACATTGTGAAATCTTCAAGATCAGTCCAAGTCATCCAATATATTTCGTGCAGTCTTGATCTCTTTGTTCTCCCACCATGTCATCCCGTAATCCCTACATCACACCTCCCTCCCCAAGGAAAATTAATTGTTCATGTCAGAATGACTGACATTTAGTATATTATATTAAATTTATTTCTTCTTTTTTCTAACTGCTACAACAGTTCTTACTCCTCGGGAAAGGTCAAAAAATTTCTAGAGCTCAAATGAGTTTCTTTACGAAGATAAATTTAGAGCACGGTCTATTTAACGGTACGCTGATATACACTGGAGTTTTAGGAAAACCAATAAAATTAAAAATATGAACTTTTGAAGGAATAGAAATTAATTACAAAAAAATACGAAAATAAAGAATGCAATGCCGAATTCAGGTTTAGAAATTTTAAACTCTATTTAGCGGAAATTTTGATATCAGGGAAGTTATTCTAAAAAGCGATTTTCTAAAAAAAAAAGGTCCGAACCCGCCCCGGGTTCATATTATCCAGGTTTCAATGGAATGCCCCATAAATTGGTCTCTGTTTGGTCTGCGGTCTCAAAATGCCCAACTAAACAACTCTTCGATTTCTGATCCCGGTCCTGAACCCTGGACAAAACGGCATAACTATTCACGCAAATATATAATGATTAGGATAACATGTTCCCTATAAGATTGACATCCATTAAGAGTTTTTTTAACCAATAGAGAATAGAATTAGATTAGATGTCTGCAATAGGTTAATTTATTTTAGCACTCCCGCTCAAAAAATAAACGCTGCTTAGCGGACCCCTGTTCCCAATGTTTAAAAATCATTTGATTAGTTTTAGTTTGGTTCTTTAATAATTTTTATTCCGCGCCAAAAAATTTTCTAGAAAACATTTGTTCATCCACCATTCCTTTTTAAAAGAAAAAAATATATGTATTTAGAGTATAGATCGAAACTCCGATGAATAAATATTATATTTTTTTATAAGATTGTAATCAGTGTTTGCTACCCGGACCATTCTGTTTCCGGTTTCAGAAATTTTGAAAAAAAAACTCTAGTTCCGGTTCTTAGAATTTGGCGCGGGTCGAAGGGATTCTGATTGGAATATTTAACAATTTTAAAAGCAGCAGCATAATAACCATTATCTTTCTTGGGTGTCTATTAGCAACCGGGCCTACCTGGGGGGAGGGTCGGGAGATTTTATATATACTCTAGAGACTATGTAAGCATGTCACTGAAGCTCGCGACATCTTTATTTCTAACCAATTCGATAATGTCAACTAAAGAAACATTTTCTTTATCATGACATATCCAATCATGGGAGCCGGAAATACAACCTGGAAACCCTATGGTTTAAAAAGGAAACTATAAACACCGGAAATCTATTATTTTTTTTTAAGATTTCCAAGAAGATGGATTCCATAACCAGTTGCCACAAAAGTGCTAAATAATTTATATAAAATGTTTTGAAAAACTTTTGTGTCATATCATTTTAGAAATGTTTTTGTAAAAAAAATATTTTGATCGCCTTTCAACATAGTGTCAGAACCAATGACATATAATAATACCTGGACTGACGATGCCATTCATTAAAAATGTGCATCAATGAAAACAGCTGTGCGCGCCATTTTGATTACCCATATCATTATTTAAAAATTATTAAACGTGAGGCCAATTCATTCCTATGTCTGACGCAAACTTTATTAAAAGAATTGCCTGAACATCGAGATAAGTAGTTCTTATGATGAGAATAATTACTATATGGGTTACCAAAATGGCGGACCCAGCTGATTTGCATTCAACGACGCATTCAAATGCGTTATTAATGAATGCATTGTCAGTCTAAGTATTATTATCATTATTATATGTCATTGGTCAGAACCGGAAGTAAAACCCTAGATGTCGTGTCAAATACAATAGCTAAACCCGGAAAAAACCTCCAATCAAGATTTTAGGGTAACCAAAACCACTTTTTTTTAAAAAATACAAAGAGTATAGACATGAGAATCCCTTAATTCCTGTTTAAAAAAAATCATTTATCTCTATTATATATTAAAAAATTATTATATTTTTGACCGTTTTGTTGTTTTTTGTTGTTTTTTGTTGTGTTTTTTTTAAAAGAAAACCTGGTTTTTTTGTAAGCAAGGCACCGAGGGAAGGAATATAATTCGAAAATGAGAAGGAAGAGTCGTGATGACTCTTAGCATGTAATCCAGTTTTGTTGGAGGTGTCCAGCTTAATTCTTCTCAAATGTGAATGAATGTGATCAAAACTAATTAAATATGCTATCAACAACGAAGCCACGATTATGGGAAATAAAATTTTTAACGATTGTTTGATTGATTTAAATTTGTAAAACATAACACATTATATATACCACTTATTCTCAAATAATAAAAATGTGTTTTTTATGTTTTTTTAAAAAAAAACACACAAACCCTGTAAATTAAATTTATTATAAAAAACAATATTTACACAGGAGTCGCCCTTTTTTTAGTTTTTTTTTTAAAAAAATAAATAAATTTATGATATGTAAAAAGAGGTTGAAACAAAAAAATTTGTTTTTTATTTCTTCAAAAAAACCGTGTCATCAAGAAGTATTTGTTTGTTTAATAATTCACCTAATTATGGTAAACGAAAAAAAAAAACATTTAAAAAAAACTAAAAAAAACTGTTTTTTTTAAATATCTAAATCATTTTTTTAAACTAGTATTAATTAAATTTTTCAAAAAAAAACCATCTCTAAAGTAAGTGGCATTTTTTGATCTGGCTAGGGTCAGCCTAAAATTATAATAGTAATAACTTAGAATAAAATTTATTCTGGGGAGAAGTAGATAGTCACGTGCCACCCAATCCACAACCCCCACTTAACATTTTTATCTCTTGAACACCAAGATCGAAATATTAATTTTTTTTTAGCATGTTTTGATAAATTTTTGAGCATATTTAACATCCTGATAATAATTTATAAAAATATCTATCATTAAGATAGATGACTTTGATGATTCTTGAATGATATCTTTGTTTGGATTGGTCTGGAAAATGAACCTTTCACATAAACTCAGTTAGCACTCAAAAACTATTATAGATACAGCTTTCAAAGGGTCGGGCTGCACATTTCTAAACCGCTTTAAGAAAAAGAATTGGGGAATCTCGCTTGATATCTCCTAGAAAACTTTAAAAATGTAATATCGAAAATTATTATTAGTAGAGATGTATTGGGAAGAACATATGTATTCAATGATCCCTAAAAATGGAGGAAATAGTTTGGATTGGACCGGAAAATGAACCTTTCACATAAACTCAGTTAGCACTCAAACACTATTATAGATACCACTTTCAAAGGATCGGGCTGCACATTTCTAAACCGCTTTAAAAAAAAGAATTGGGGAATCTGGCTTGATATCTCCTAGAAAACTTTAAAAGTGTAATATCGAAAATCATTATTAGTAGATGCTGGGGAAGAACATATGTATTCAATAATCCCTAAAAATGGAGGAAATATTTACTATTTAAATACAAGTGTTCACTTTTCTAAGCATCTATTAGTATTTATTTCAAATTTAGTTTAAATATTTTATAGGTGATATAAGCTAGATTTCCAATTTTTATTTTTTTATTCTTAGAGATTTGATAAAGAACCAAATTCCTGGTTGAACTAGTCTTGTTTGATGATAAAACATATTGGCACAATCTTAACAAAGAAATTTATAACCTGTGTTGAATTTTTTTTTTTATCGGGAGATTAATATATTTTACGCGTTCGGGAAAAGGTAAATTCCATATTATCATCATTTTCCGGGAAAAATTACTCTTTCGATACATTGTCGATACAATATCTGTACCAAAATTATCTTCAATGCGGATAATATGTTGTTAAAGTTGCGCGTTACATTTTTCAGTAGCGGCAAAAAAGCGATAGCGGTAGCTCGCTACTAATTTATATAAAATAAATATCAGAGACCTGCAGGCCCGGCCCTAAGCCCGGCCCGGGTCGGGTCGGGTCGGGTCGTATATTTAAAAACCGAATATTTTAAATAGCCATTGTTAGCTAAAATCAAAAATAAATAAAATATATTTTAAAAAATCCGGGTCAAAAAACCCGGGCCGGGTTGAAAATAATTTTTGAAAAAAATAATCCGCCGGACCGTACAAAAGTACCTCTGCAGGTCTCTAATAAGTATACATAAAAATTATTAAAATATGTTTATATTATAATAATTAATTCTAAAATCATAATCTTTTTACATAATTTTAATTTTAAAAAAGTTTATATTTAAAAAATATGCATTATAAATACCTACAGTTTTCAAAAATAATTTAAAATGTCGACTATAGGAAATAAAACATTATAGTTTTTTTTTTGTATAAAACTTAAAAGTATTAAAATTTAAGGAGGCTTTTAATGGCATAAATGTTAATTTTTTTTGGTCATCTACCGGTATCAAACCCGGACCGGTTTCAAAAGCGAATATTTTTCGGTTACCCTATTGCAATTCTTTTTAAATTCTATAATAAAAATATGGAATATAATCCAAATTGGGTATTTTATACAGAAATTCTAATTCAGTAGTCGACTCAAGTTCATACATCGTCCTCTAGTCGACTCAAGTTTGTAGAACTATTCGTCCTCTAGTCGACTCAAGTTCGTATAAATATTCGTCCTCTAGTCGACTCAAGTTCGTAGAACTATTCGTCCTCTAGTCGACTCAAGTTCGTAGAACTATTCGTCCTCTAGTCGACTCAAGTTCGTAGAACTATTCGTCCTCTAGTCGACTCAAGTTCGTAGAACTATTCGTCATCTAGTCGACTCAAGTTCGTAGAACTATTCGTCCTCTAGTCAACTTAATATCATAGAACTATTCATATCATACTCTAGTCCAAGTTTATAGAACTATTCGTCCTCCAGTCGACTCAATTTTATAGACTCGAGTTAACGACTTGAGTTGGTCGACTTATTCTACTAACGATTAGAGACTCTGAGTTCTAAGTCGGGTGATCTGGACTTTTTACAACACTATATAGAAATAGTAATTAATATTTTTTAGTCAAGATACAGTAAATATTATTTAATGTATAATATACTTGATTTTTGGTGGAAAACAATAGAAGATTCTTTATTATATGAAATTCAAAAACAGAGGCTTGTTTTTTATCTATATAATGGCCATAACCAATTTTAAGAAAGAGAATATAAGAAAGAAAGAAAGAAAGAAAGAAAGAAAGAAAGAAAGAAAGAAAGAAAGAAAGAAAGAAAGAAAGAAAGAAAGAAAGAAAGAAAGAAAAGAAAGAAAGAAAGAAAGAAAGAAAGAAAGAAAGAAAGAAAGAAAGAAAGAAAGAAAGAAAGAAAGAAAGAAAGAAAGAAAGAAAGAAAGAAAGAAAGAAAGAAAGAAAGAAAGAAACTGTTTTCCCTATATGTTATTGATTGAGTTTTATTAATTTACTAATATATTTATATCAAAATTTATACGTTTTTAATGTTTTTTGTAATAATTCATGTGATTAACAATAAAAAATGTTTAATTCCTTAATTATTTACACATTTTTCATTTTTGGTTCCTATCAATATTGATTATAGGAATGTCATTTTTTTATATTAAATATATGCTTATTAGATAATCATTTTTAAAAATAAAATTTATAATAAAATTCAGTTTTTTTCTGTAGTATTAATAGGACATATAAGAGTAGTATTTCTTCTTTCTTTCTTATAGAAAAATTATAAAACAGTATAAAATTTATACACAAGAATTGATAATAAAAGATTACCATTGACCATATATTTTGATGAGGTATTATTTTTTATCTGTATAGAAAAGAACGACTATAGATAGCATGATATTTTTATGATTTAAATAAATTTATTCCATATTTTTCCCCAAACCATTTTGTCGTGCTGAACAATGTATATCATTCATGGATATGAACAAGTTTAATCGTATGATACAATAAATTATTTATTTTAATATTGAATTTTTTATAAAAAAAAATACTTAAATATTACAAATCTAAAATTTAATGAAAAAATAGCCGTCGGATGGCGTTAAAATATTTTTAAAAAGTTATTTTTATTTATTTTTTAACTTCAATGATCAAATGAATGAATGAAAATAAATTTCACAAATAATCCAAATTATCATATTCAAATGAGTTAAAGAAAACTGAAGGAAATATTCAGATTAGATAAAGTGACTTTTTTTTTTATTATGAATTTGCGAACTTAATTTTTAATCTTTTAATTTTAATTTTTTTTAATTATTATTTTAATTTTTTTTTATTTTAGTTATGATTATGTAATTACAAATTTATATTAATTAATAAAATTTATACTATACTACTTATTTGTATTCTCGTTAATTCTCAACTACAACATTTGTAACCGAAACGTTATGCTCTATGGACATATGCAGTCTAACTAACTTTCCATTATGTGACAAACTCATGGCTATAATATACCGATTGTTTAACTGTTGTCATCGTTCCAGCATGTCATATCGCTACGACATGTTAAATTAAAAAAAATTACTACACATGGTTCACTATATTTATCGTATCAATAAAAAAAACAATATATAGTATGATATTTTTTCAAATTTTAAATAAATTTATATATATATATATATATATATATCTATTTCTAAAAGATTCTTATCGTTTTAAAGCTAACCATTTTTTCGTGCCAAACAATATACCCTTTTTGGTCCCTGATTCTGATTTCTTAAGGATCCTACCGAGTCCGACCCGGCCCGGCCCGGCCGGAACTTTTTTTAAGGCTAACCATTTTGTCGGGCTGAACCATATGTTTCTTTTTCTTTTTTGATACCTGATGATTATTTTGTATAACTCAAAAAAAAAAGTATCTTATTAGTAAACGATTTTTTTTGTTTTAAGCAGTGGTATAAACTTTTTCCATTTTAGATAATGACGGGTTGAGGCGATCGTGTGATATATTAAGTTAAACTTTGATATTATATGTTAATTGGATATATTACTTTGAGATTATGTAAATTGGATGGATATATTATACGTTATTTAAATGTATACATATTATTTGAGAGTAAAACACATATATTTATCATATAAGTTTAATATCTTAATTAAAACATCTTAGTAAATTTTTTTTTATTATAAGTCGATATTCTACAGGCTAATCCCCCCCTCCCCCCCATATCGACGACTTTCGAAGCATCATCATCTCCCAATACAGACGACTATCGAAGCATTATCGTCCCAAATACCGACTAATAGAGTGACATACAATTCTGAGGGCAAGATCTTCCCCGCTTGTCAATAGTATACATTATTTTTATTATTTAAATCAAATTATGTATCTTTTCTTAAGGATCTTAACAGTTGCCGTTTCGTCGCACCTACGTACCATTATTCCTACTGTTACTGTTTGTATTACTCAGTGAAAATACCGATACGTGGTTGGCTAATTATTTAAATAAGATTATATATATATATATTCTCAGGGATTCTAACTTTTATTTCGAAGTTTCCTAATTTCGTCTCCAAGCCAACATCAAAATTTCTTAGTATCCATGCTTGTAATTTTGTATAATTCACTAAAACTAAATATTGCTTCCTTATTTTATTATAATCAGATCGAGATAGCAATATATAGTAGTGATATGCATCGAGCCTACCTTTTCAAGCCCGGTCCGGCCCGAAATTTTTTTTATAAAGTTTTGCCGGCCCGGCCCGAATTTATTTAAATATAGAAATTAATTCGTATAATTAATCAAAATAAACGATATATATGTTATTTGGCGTCTACTTTCTATAAATAAAATCACATATTTTTTATTTTACATGAAAAATTCATCATAAAATTGATAAATTTAGATATATTATAAAAATATTTTAAGACCCGACTCGGCCCGAATTTTCCTAAAAAATATTAGGCCTGATATTTCATGATTTGTGATCCATCCACCATTTATTACTCAAGAACTAGTTTGGCCAAATTGATTGGTTGGGGCGAATTAGATGATTTTTGGTCGAAAAAATGAACAAGAACCGACTCAACCAAAATGGGACAATCTGATAGACGAAATCCATAGACCCGAGCACTAACCTATAATAATTATTTAAATCAATCATATTTTTATGAGTGACGAATATTTCAATATTAGCATAGAAATGATTATCTTTTAAATAATGTTGGCTTCCATTTTTTAAAAAATTGTTCTCTTCTTATAATTACAAAATACTGTATAATTTTTACTTATAAAATAGTAATCGTGATCGAGAACCCAAATTAAAACTAGAGGACGAATAGTTCAATATTCACATAGAATACCTTATTATTCTTCTTGTTATTCTAGTATTTTTTTTATTTTTTTCTTTATTTTAAATTTTTGCAAAACTTTAAATAAAAATTAGTGGGAGATTTAGGACATGTTTTATAATTTTTATTAATTTCGAAAATTTTATGATTTTTTAAAAATATATTTAAGAAACAGCCTCATTAAAAAATATAATTAAAATATAACCTCTAACCCATCCATTTTTGACATGCTTTTGTATATAATATAATAAATGAATAATAATTCGCAAAAGTAGGTCGAAGACTCTCAAATAGGGTGGTAAGAGGGAAAACTGAAGTCGCTATAGTATGGCCAGTCACCCCTGTTCTTAGCATAAAGATATATTTTTCAGACTACTTCAAAATTTTCATTTTATACTGCAAATACGTTTAAAAATGGCTACTTCGATATCCAAAAGTAGTTAAAACATGAACGAGAGTGTTAAGGGAGTGTCACTATGATTTATTTATTTTTATTTAAAAAAAATTAAAACTATAAAATGATGATAAATCAACACGTATTGTATTCGATATTTATAATGATTAATTTTACACATTCATTATTCGTAAATTATTATATGCTTCAGCTAAATTTTTATATCATTATGATAGATATTATTATATTATAAAATACTATATGAAGACAATAATTAGTAAAAAAATAAATAAAATGCGTTTATATTCATTTGAAGTATTTAAAATATTAGAGTAATAAAGTAATTTAATATATAAAATAGTATTTTACAAAATATAATTTAGTTTTATAATAGATATCGAGTCAAATACGATGGTCATACAATAATGATCTGTAAATTTGTATAGGTGATGATGATAGAGGAATTTTCAATCTTATATAATAATGTTAATTAGAAACCAAATTTCAATAATTAACAAAACTTTAAAACATAAATAAATTTCACGATTTATCTTGCAATGTTTCCTGGTCAACTCCATTTACTTAAATTTTACCGTCATCATATTTTGAGTTATATATGATTCTACGGGCTATGGTTTAGAAGATTTAGCGATGCCTTATTTTGCCCGCCAAGGCTTCCTTCCCTCTGATAATGGCATTCAAGATCAACGGATTTCAAAGATAAATCATTCACTAGTAAATGACGAGAATATATTAGCGCTCCCCACATCAACCCGGGCTTGAATGCCCCCTACTTTGTTAAGCAATAAATTGCCTCCGGGTGACCCCCCAACAAACGAATGCTTGTTGTGCGAGTGCGATCTGCTGTGCCCGTCGGACACGATTCGGGTTGAGCTGTAGAAAATTTTTCGACGCCTGCCTATGCTGTCGTACCGGTAGAAAAAATTGGGAGAATCGGTTTCTCCGTCCCCTCCTTTGTCCGACAAAATATTATTATCCGATTTCGAGTGATTGTTGTGACAATGGTTATTATTTTGATCGCCTCTCTCGTTATTTGAAGAGGATTTGGAATCGTTGGAATTGGGAATGGCGGGAGAAGAACTAGTGTTTGGGTCAGCGGTTTGAGTGGACGGCGGTTGGGAAGGAAGCGAAAAACAGTAACCGCAGGCCGAGATGTGGAAGGTTTTATGAGATAGCAAGGACAATTCCCCATCTGGATTCTTCGGAGAATCGTTTGTTTGGCTAGTTTCGGAGGTAAGGTTCTCGAAATTCCTGCCACAGTGAGGGCAGTAGCAAAATGGAGCGTTTTTCTCTGGTAGAGGGGATTTCACTTCCATATTTTTGGCGTCCGAATTGTTCGTCAAACCATTAATATCTAATCGTTTATTTGGGGGATCATGTTTTGGTAACCTTTTTCCGGAATTGGATTTGAATGCTCTGGAATGATCGAATCCATCAATGGCATCGATTAAGCTTTCTTCTTGTCTTTTACCAAAAAATAAATATAAGATCACGTGAGATTTAAAAATATCTAACATTATTATTCGATGGTTCAAAAATAATCAATCATTAGATATAAGATACTCGTATTTTGACTCAATACAAGATATTTTCATGTAAAATTTTGTCTATTCCTTCCTATAAGTTATAAAGTCATTAAAGGGGCGGCCTTAGATTATTAAAACATACCCCACCCCTTCCAGGATTGAAAAAAAACGTGAAGAATTCAAGTAATTACTTCATGAAGTAATTGGTTTTGGCAAAGAAATTGTGCTGCATATCGAAATGGTATTCAACGTGCTTTTCGAAAGGGGCCTTTTTCCTGGCACTGTAATTGCAAAACTGACAAAAAATGTCCCTTTTGCCGACGTGGAAGCTACAATGCTTTTCCTAGACGAGATTAAAAAAAAATAGCAGTTTTAATAATTTAATTATTAGAATAACCCCAAGTAATTTTAATTCTCTGAATTATTCTCCTCAATAAAAAATCCTTATGCCGTGTACTAGGACTAATTTGGATAATAAATTGCTTTTTAGTAGAGTCTAAAAAGTAATTGATCGCAGACACTCCATTTTGATTTATTTTAAGAATTCGATGGAATTGTTATTATTCTTCGTATTTTATTTTTTTTTAAAAAATCGTTTTGCTTTTTTGGCTATTTGGCCTATACTTAAAAAAGGGTTTAATGGCCGGCTAAGTATTAAGCTGGCCTAGGACACGGTCTTAATATTCATTTTAAAAACTTATTAAATCAGCTGATAATTAATTATATCCAAATAAATAATGAAAATTGATGCATAACTCGTGCCGAAATAATATAAAGTCTTGAATTTAAGGTTAAGGTCAAATGATTAAATTAATCTTTATATTTACGATTGCACATCTGGAAGTGCTCTTGAAAGCACAGTTTTGGCATTCGTAACTAATGGTAGTGGGGCCGTTGAGTTTAGCTGAAGGGTGTTCAATCGTCAGAAATCTGGCCATGTCTGGGTGGTAATAGTCAAAGGCCTTCTCAAACGTATTGACGAGAGGAGGGGTCGAATTTTGATCCGTCAATTCGCCCTTTTCTGTTTCGGATATCACTGGTTTATCCAATGCGTTGTTAATATCGGAGATGCATAGGGGGGTTAATTCCAATTTAGGGATAGAGCTGGTAAAACATTTGTTGCTGTTTGCCAAATCGATGGCCACGACTAAATTTTTAGCCCTCAAGGATTGAATTTGACGATCGCTAATTTGCGGGGAAGTTCCCGGAAGCTGAGTATTACTGGAGTTTTGCGGAACGGGGACGGACAATGATTCCGATGTCGCGATTTTTGAATCGGGAAAACGGGCGTTGAATATGGGAAGGAGGGTAGAGCTACTCGAGGGTAAGATGGTCACGTTGTGTAACTTTTATTTTAGATAAATAATTAAGGTATCAATTAACAATTGCGCGTAAGACCGTAAGACAAAGAGATATTCAGATTAACCGGTATACACGGTTACTTATACAGCCGGTTTTATTAAGCCCGGTCGGGATAAATTCAATCCGGTTTATCTCTAGATTGCGTACAATATTCGAACATTTGGGACAAAATGGGAGTGGCAGGGGTACATTTTTATAAAATAACGTAGCTAATTAGATAAAATTTAGATGCATGTAAATATAATGGAAAAAAAAATAAACAAATAGTATATTAACCTTGACGTGCCTAACCAATTGATAAATTTTGGGACACGTGTAATCGCAATCTTGGCAATGCAGTTTAAATTTCCTCCCGTGAAATTTCATGTGTTTTTTGAACATTCTTTGCAAGCAAAATTTAGCCGGGCATTTGGGGCATTTCAGATCGTATTTGTCGTCGCTGTTGGAAGGTGTCGAGGTTAAAATATTCCCGTCTTGAGTAAAATCGTCTTGCGGGCGATTGGTCAGACCCAAACGCGGGGATGAATTCGAGGAAACGTTTTCAACAGGGTCTGTTACGGTGGACGCTTGACAATTCTCTAAGATCAAAAATTTTTCATCCAAAAGTTTAAATCGAGTTATCATTTAAAAGTCTATTATTTTCAAATTTAAAAAGGTGAGATGACAGGCGTCATGTAAATCTTCGAGATAACTACCCTTATACCTTAATTAATAAAAATCGTTTAAATTCCAGTAAATTACGAAACGCGAGAACATCAAACAAAAAATATTTGAATTATGGTAAAAGGTAAATATATTTACAAAATTAACGTACGAATGTCAGATTCCGATTTGATCTCGTTATTTTGGGTTCGACTTTGCGACGACGAACCCAAATTGGGGCCGGTATCCGTGGATGGAAAATCGGTGTTTGGCGGTCGAGATGCGTCGGTCGCTGTCTGGCGATTATCCGCATAAATCCCGTGCATATTTAAGTGGTTAGAAAATCGGGTCGGATTAGCGCAATTGAAAGAGCACTTGGGACATTTTTGGAGCTTTCCCTTCATACCCTTTTAAGTATTAGGAATAAATATTGTGAGGCGCGTATTATATTATCATCCTACATAAATAGAAAGATATTCCACGAAAAATTATGATTCCCTACGTCCACAAAAGCTGTTTTTTTAAAAAAAATTCTTATCTTTTCGTTAGATGTTTTCTAACGTATTTTTGGTGTAACTGTCAAACAAATAAGACATTTGCATCAAAAATAGAGAACTAAAGAATGGATCAGTAAAAGTTAGGGTAGCGCCGAACCGATATTAGATATTGTATCGAATCGATGGCGACTAAACCGTCTCATAAAATGGGATCGGACAGACATTTACCAAAAGCACAATCCAATATTTATAACAAGATTAATTTTATATTGTTTATTTTACATTTATTATTTCTAACAATAATAAATAAATAAAAACGAAATATTATTTTTAAAAAAATTCATAGTTAATAAATTTAACCTTATTTTGTTATAAAGAGTAAAAATGGCGATAAATATTATATTTAATATTTTTACAATTAAAAAAAAAATATAATCAATGAATTTTATAGGACTAAATATTTAAATTTTGAAACTTCACAAATAGAAAGATATCTTCTTTGAATTATAAGAGTTTTAATTGGGCGTTTCTCCAAATAATTTAGCATAAAATAAGTGGTTACCGAAAAAAAATAACAAGTATTGCTGTCGTTTTTTTAGCAATAACCATCTAGACATTTCTGGCGTCTAAACAGTAATTCTGCATAACCTTATTATTTTTAGCAATAACCATCTAGACATTTCTGGCGTCTAGGTAGCTTCCAGGATATCCATCTACGATTAACAGTAATACTGTATAACCTTAATATGGAGAAAAAAACAGTGCCAATATTAACGTTTCTTTTAGCAATAGCCATTTAAACATATCTGGAGTCTAGGTAGACCCCAAGATATCCATCTACGGTTAATAATAATAGTAATCTGTATAATCCTAATACGAAAAAATTTTGCTTTTTAAAAAATACAGACTTCCATAAATAAGTATTATCGTAATATTAATAAAACAAAAAAATTTTCATTCAAGTTCGAAAGGAGAGAATCGTGCATTACATAAATTACGCCAGAATGTAACTCCCGCCCCCGCCATATTTTGTGATTAGAAAATTAAATTACTTCTCTTATTCCGTGAAGCTTGATATGCAATCTAACGTTGGCCCGTCGCGTGCCTAGGTGGGGACAATAAGGGCATTTGAACATTCGTACGTACTTGCCGAGTTTGAGACCCCAGGCTGCGGTTATCTCCTTTTCGTCGTCCTTGTCCCATTTACAAGGTTTTGGGGGTTTACTAAAATTTTGTTAGTAAGAGTATTAAAAATATATCTTCTTTATATATAAATAATGGATTAAGCCCAAAAAAACAGGCTATGCCTATGAGATTGATGCCTCAACTAAAGTGGCGATTCGCCTATTACGAAAGTATAGTGAAGTCAGCTGTAGAAGTATACATATATTGAAGTCAGCTGTAGTAGAACGTCACTGAAAAACATTTAGTCTTATGCCTATCAATGTACATGCATTTTAATGAATAAATTGCCAGTCTGGGTGTCAATGGCATTGGGTTAGGCCCATGGGTGAATAGGTTATTCTTACTCAAAATAATAGCTTCGGAAATAGAAGAAAGTGGAGGAGATACTTCAAGAAAATGTAACGGAGCAAAAGAGTTACAAAAAAAAGGATAAGCAAAAATATTTGCTTTAAACAAGTGATATTATTTTGTGAGGGTATTGAAAAGCTTTTCTTTTGTCGTTCTTTATTTTCGGTACTAAATGCCAACTAGTCTGGTAGCGTCTTACTCTAAGCTAAATTCTTTCCAAACAACAAACCATTTCCTAAGGTCGCTTTCCTGTGAAATTTTTTTCCCAGCTTAGCCCATGTTCCCCTTTTAGAAGGGTGTACTGCAGACCTGGACCTAAATAAAATAACATTTTAAAATCAAGTCTATCAGGCTGAAAAACATCCGCTATACGAAACCGGATAAAAGCGGACTGACCTGTACAAATAAAAAAAAATTATGGCGGAGGTATATGATAGGTAGCTTCTACAAAATCCCGACTATGATAACCCTGTTTCTATAGCTGAAATAAATGACAAATCAAAAAATGATTGCATATATATTACTTTAGCTGGCAAGATATAAATCAATATCTTAGAAGGAAAAATTGTATAAATTGATTACCAAAAAAATAAAAGAAAATAAACAAATAAATATGTGTACAGGTGTAATTTGTCATAATTGTCAACAGATAAACAAAGATCAAAATAAATATATACATATTATTCATAATAAATTCAAATTTTTACCTTAACATGAATAAGAGTTTTAAATTGTTAATGCCATATTTCAGATTTCAAATTATTACATTTCGTCCATTTTTTTTTAAAGAAAAATAATTAAGACCGAATAATCTAAGAGTGCTTAAGGATATTAATTAGTAAATATAATTTATTTCGATTTAAAAAAAAATTTTTTTAGCAAAAATGTTTTTACCGTTTGGTTAACTATATTTTTTTTTAAAAAAAATTTAAAATATTTATGGCAAACAAAATTATATTATGATGGCTGAAGGCGAAAAAAAATATACGATTTCATAGTTTTAACGCCTTTATATACGACAGAATGTGTAGCGTGTAGCTTAGTCAATGGCGTATTTAATCCCAAATCTCCCTCCCCCCCTCTCCCAGCAAAATCTTAGATACGCTACTAAGATTAATGACAATGAGAGTTGTGTCAAATTATTCAACTTTAGTCAACTCAAAAAAAAAAGGTATAGTTAAGTTATTCTTTTTAGATGGTAAATCTGCCTCAATATAGTTGAGACTCGAACTTAGAGATATTAGAGCTAGCGAAGGTTAGGCGATTTAAACGACGCTAACAACAGCTGAATAGAAGGAGGAGGGGAACAAAAAACAGGCTGTTTCTATTCATCTCATTGGAAGCGAAGCTTATTGCAAATATTTTTAAAAAAAACTATTAGAGTTGATTTTTTTTCCTACATGGTGCAAGGTGAGAGGTTCCCCCTTCATCCTTAAAAATATAATTTTATATTGTCATCTACCTAATTTTAGATCACGTTCGTGCTAGAATGCTAAAGATTTTAAATTCATATATCTATTGATACAATATTATTAATCTATCTATTAGTGTGGAAGAAATCTTGGTCCAATATGAACTATGCTCCACTCCATCACCCCCCTAGAAGCCGATTTTTAAAAACGGCTAACTCAATATTTCTTTCATCCAGAAAAAATGTTATGCAAGCCTGAAGATTTTGCTAATAGAAGGAAGGTCTCTAGACATATATGAACGAAATTTCGTTATAAAAAATCGGCTCATAATGAGCCGTTTAACAACACTACCCCTTTACGCCATCTTAAAACTTTTGTTCAAAGTTTTATATCTCTTTCTTGATGGAAAATCTTATGAGGTTGGGAAATAGGGAATTCAGGATTTCAATCTGCAAATATCGTTCAAATAAGATAAACATTTCAAATAAATAAATCAAGGTGGTCATTCTAGCAGGGTTTTTATACAACTAATAAAATTACAGTGCAGAAGTGATATTTCTCTATTGGCCTGTAAGAGGGGTGAGGGGGGGGGGGCTAAAAATAAATTTTCAGATGAATAAAATAAATGTTTAACTGAATTTTTTACCTGGGAGGTGCATTCCTTTCGATTTCATCATTGAACTTCGAAATATGGGTTTGATTTTCAACTGCCTGATGAGGTGGTACGTATTGAGGGGTTGTAACGGGTGAGGGTGGAACGTACTGAGGGATTATAACTGGTGTGGGTTGTACGTATTGAGGGGTTATAACTAGTGCGGGTGCTACGTATTGAGGGGTTATAACTGGTGCGGGTGGCACGTATTGAGGAGTTATAACTGGCGAAAGTGGTAAAGGAGTAATTGGTGATGATGGCACGTATTGAGGAGTCATAATTGGTAAGGGCGGTACGTATTGAGGAGTTATAACTAGTGAAGGTTGAGAGGGTGTGATAGGAATGGGATCCGGCAGAACTGTTGGAGCCGACATCTGGCAATCTGGAAGTAGAGGGATTGGTGGATTAGGATTGGGGCAGGATAGGGCCGCGGCTGCTTTCAGCATGGATGTCAAGGAGGAAGGGGCTCGAGATTTGCGTCTATTTGTGCCTACGAATTAATTTTTTTATAAAAATGAGAGAATGCCTTCATAATGGGTATTGTGGCTTACATTATACTGTTAATTACTTAGATCAAAGGATGGGGCCAAAATAAAAAAATGCCTTTAAAACTTGGACAGGACGTTTGACCGAAATTATTCATAACCAAATCATGATGATTCATATCCAATTTCATTTAAATCTTATTGATAAAATTTAAAATTCATAAGATGCTCGCTCATATTTTCCACATCCTTAAAACCCACTTGCAAAATTATTGTAAAAAAAAAACCTAATTTCAAAAGAGAAGGGACCTGCTAAATTATGCAATTTTTAAGAACCGGGTCGAAACGGAAAATATTTATATGAATCTGGGATGGGCAGACATACTTATGATGGTCGTCGTCATCTTGGCGATAGAATCGCTAGATCTATCATCGCAAACACTCTCTTCCTCCACCTTTATCTCGCGTGTACAAGCGACAGCTTCACATATCGAAGTGGCCACCTCGGCGACATCCTCATTATTTTTGTGATTGAAATCTTCGCTTTTCGGGGTTGGGTTACCAGCCATATCATCAGCCGATCCATTCATTCCATCGGCATTGGATAGGTCGAAATCTTTGCTATCACCGTCTTTGGCCTCGTCCTCCCTTTGGTCAACGATAGAATTATCAGCGATGGTAAGGTTAGGATTGTCGCGGTTATTCGGGGCAAACGTATTGCTGAGCGCGTCAACATTGGGCGGAATAGGTTGGCGAACGTCGTTCTCGGGATCATAAGCGCTGAGTCTATTGAGGATTTCTTGAGGGTTGGGAACGTGCATCCTCAAATGCTGCCAGAGCATTCGCTTCAGAGGAACAAAGTAAGGGCAGAAAGGGCATTTGTAGTAAGGGCCTACGTGGGGTGTGACTGCGTTTATATTTTTATTTATTTATGAGAAAAAAAAAACTCCAATTAAAATGTCAAATGCATTTATCTGTCTTTCGAACAATCCATGAAAATTTGCTTTTCATTGTCATTAGGTGTGTCGTAATTTTTTGATATTAAATATCCGGCCATGTTGGCCATCCAAAAAGTTAAAATGGCGAATCAGCATATTAATCAGTGTAGGTGCCAGTTATCGCATATTTTTCAATTTTTAAAACGATGGCCATTGCCGGAATTCGGACGGATTTTTTAAAAAAATCTTGAATCGATTAATAAATAGTTGGAGAGGTGCAAGCCCAGCGCGGGTCAGAAATTATCGTAATTTTAAAAAACCCGGCCCGCGTATTTGAGCCGGTCAAACTGTCAAAATAATGGTGATAGCGATTTTCGAAAACGGCTAACTCGACATTTTAGCTTCATGGCAAAAATTGTTAGAAATTTATAAAGAAGGTACATTCCAAACATTATGTAATAAATTTCTGAAAAAATCAGTTTTAAAGAAATCTTAAAATGCTGAATTGAGGGAGCCTCGTTCGATTAAGCAAGCTAAGAGATCCGCTGAAGCCCATCGCGTCGAAGGCCCAGACTGTGGGCTAAGAATTTTTTTCGGGTGGGGTCAGACAATTTATACATAAGAAAATCAGGGCCTCGGCTACTATTAGATCTCTCGTAAAATAGGGTTAGGGTTAGTAAACAAATTATTTATGATATGATTCAATCCCAAATGCACAATACAGATAGATGTCAACACACAAATGATTTATATAAGAACTCCAATCGAAAAAAGAATCTAACAGGCCAGGATTGTGTAATGGGGGGGGGGGGTGGACCTTTCGTAAATAGTAACGGCTCGGGCAAAAAAATTTAATGGGCCGAATTGGTCCGGGCTAAGCTAATCTCTACAAGCAACAACGAAAATAAGTACTAACCAGCTTCGACGCCGTTTCCATCTACCCTGGGAGGCGGGAAGGTGTGAAGTTCTGTGTGCCTTTTGAAGGCCGAATGCTTGTTGCTGATGAAAGGGCATACCGGGCAGGGGTAAACGTTGGTCCGAGGATTTCCAGCAGCAGTAGTAGTCAGGCTATTGGCAACTCCAGCACCTCTACGCCCATGACCACCGCTCTGCCCAGTTTGGTGAGTTGTTTGAGGCGGGTGTTGATTAGAGTGGTAAGACGATGTGGGGTTGGTCAAGGAGAGCAAAGAGGTGGAAAAAGAAGCTGCTGGGCGTTCATAATAGTTGTCCACAACCGGCATTATGGCGTTGGAGTCCAGGGTTAGAAGATCGGCAGGAGGGCCCTTAGGAGGTGCTATAGAATAGCCATGCGTAGATTTCACGTGAGATTCAGCAAGTGAACGACTCGGATCCTTGAAAGAGCAAAATTTACAACGAAACACCAGAACCGGGCTGTTGAAATAAGACGTATAAGTGTTAGGTAAGGTAGAATGAATTGCTGAGTTAGGATTTTGTCCAAAAGAAGCGTTTTCTTGGGAACCGCCCGTGGTGCCAGATTGTGGATTGTTCCCTTGATAAGAGGCGGAGGAATCTATTAACATTGAAATGATTATGCTAGGAGGATAGATACAAAAAATTTGGCAAAAATTTATAAATAAATGACTAGGCGTTGCAATAAAAAAAGGTTGGCGATAAATAGTATGCCCTAAGATAGACCCAGACCCTAGACATGGTTTATCCGTCAAATATGGGAAAAACATCTAACAGCTAAAACTATATAAAAATATCGTTAAAATTTTTTTACCATTTCCCCACCCCATCTCGCAGTTCGAGTTGACGGGCACACCGGCACCCATGTGCAATCCTGCCATCAAATCTTCCCGCTTCATGACCCGAATGGGCAACTTGTTAAGTTCCTCGATCTCTTTCAAAGCCTGAATAGATTTGACAATGTGTGGTACTGGCTTGTTAACAATACCCATGGAATCTTCAGAAGTGTGGGAAGGGTGCTTGGCCTTAATGTGCTTGCTAATATCCCAGGACCAGTAAGACCTCTTGCCACATTCGGAACAATTGTAGAGCTTTTCTGAAGCGTGGACGGCCACGTGTAGCTTGATTTTGGCGGCGCAGTTAGAAACGTAAGCGCAAACGGCACAGCCAAACACGTTTTTACTACTGGCGCTGCGGGACATGTTGCTGTTTTTGGCACTCACAGAGGCGGAACTGGCTACCGGAGTAGAATGAGCTGAAGAGGAAAGGGCCGAAGGGGTTAGGATGCTGTTGAGATATGATTCATATGTGTTATTCGGGTTTAGATAACTGTTGTTTTTAATCGATATATTGGGTGAAATGTGACGAACGTCTATAGAGGTGTCCGCGTTATTAATAAGATGGTGGTTGTTGTGGGAATTATTACTATTGTTTAGGTAGTAATAGTAAAAGCTGGAGAGGGAGTCACTGTTACTATTGTTTTGGAAGCCATCTACTTTATCGGGATTGTGATTGTCGAGTACTTGAGAATTATTAAGGTTATCTTTGAGAGGTGTGGAGGCACGATTACTATCAGCTGGGTGAGTGATAAATACATATATTGTATATTTGCTTACAGAGTAGATACAAGTATCTAGATCCTGTATCTAGATATAAAAATGTGGTATCTGTATCTAGATAGATTTTTGATTAAAATATCTGTATCTAGATATTATTTTAGACGATATATCTGTATCCAGATCCATTTAAAAAGTATCTTTTAACAACTCTGTTTGCTTATATTATTCGATTTAAAAATAACAATACTAAAAATCAGGGTTGGCAAGTCGGTCAATTGACCGGTCAAATTCAGTCAATTGACCGGAGGAGTATTTGACCTGGTCAAATACGGTCAAATACTCTAAAAAATTTAAAGTAAAAAAATAAATTAAACTTTTTAAAAGGTAAAAACGATGTAAATACATGTGATCACAATGTTTGCTTATTTTTTGGGTCCACAATATCAAGAGGAGAACGCACTAGTAGTGAAATTAATGAAGTATGTGATATAATTCAAGAATTAGCTATTTTACAAAGTAGTGATGACCAAAATATTTTAAGTGATATAATTTATTTCAGAAACAAAAACAGCATGTTTAATATAGCAAATTATGTGGAAAGTAGTAATTTCCAGAAACAATCAATTCCGACCCTCAAGTTAATAGATTAAACTTTGTCTACCCTGCCCATTAAGAGACTAACAATTCCTTGTTCTACTTCTTTAGAAATAAATATGTCGATTTGGGTTAATATTCTTATGAAAATAGAAATCAATAGAAGATCTAAGACATCAGGTAAATTCATTAAAAAATATTAAGGAAAATGATAATATTGAATATGAATCAGAACAAGACTCTGCTACAGATAGCTACACGTTAGTTATTGAATGACAATGAATTTAAAAAATTAATATTATAGATTGATTTTACTATTATATTCAAAATAAAGTTAATATTAACTTAAAAAAACATATATTTGAATTTGACCGGTCAAACATCGGTCAATTGACCGAAACGTATTTGACCGGTCAAACATCGGTCAATTGACCGAAACGTATTTGACCGGTCAAATGTACAACCCTGCTAAAAAATACAATTTTTATAAACATGTAAACAAAAAAACCCGAATAATCCGGTTCAAATCCGGTTTCTTCCGAGGGTTTAAATCTCTTAGCGGAGGTTAAACAAGAACCGAAATCCCTTTTAGGAGCGAGGAGCGACATCTTAGTTTGTCGCTTGCCTATAAAGTTGCCGTTCTCTTCGAAGCTATTTTCGGTGTCTTGACTATTTATAAGGCTATTTAGGAGAGGTGACGTCATATCTAAACAATGAATTATGGGAAGGGAAAAAAATAAAGAAAAAAAGAAAGAAAACAAGTTTTTAAAAAAATCATGGTTCGTAATGTCCCAAAACCCGATTGGTTATTACGTTCAGTTCCCCTAGTCTATTCATTCAAACCAAAATTATTGGACTTGAAGGCGAGGAATAACCCTAACTAAGGGCTGCACTGTCGAAAAATTCGTAATATAATTACTAAATATAGCAAATGAAAGTTTGACAGAGAAAAAAAAATGGTTTGATTAGCATTCTAAGCTTACGGGGCCAGAGTCTAATCCTTAGAAGCGCAGAGCTAGTGTTGTTAAACGGTTCGTTTTGAGCCGATTTTTTACTGTAGATTTTGCTCATAGAAGGAACAAAGATCTAATCGAAATCTCCAGGCTTGGGCAGTATTTTTCTGGCTAAAATATTGAGTTCGCCGTTTGAAAAAATCGCCTCAAGCCGTTTAACAACACTAAATCATAGCAGCGTTTTTTTTTCAAGTATGGAAGGGTTATGTTTTAATCTATAAAAAAATATATAAAATTAAACGTATCCACTTATATTCTTAACTTTTGATAATAATGAGAGGAACGAAAAGACGCGTAATCGTGGCAAATAAATCACGTGACAAACTAAAGTTAATATGTAGTAATAATACCGAATTGTTTTTCCTAGGGGACTTTTTTTTTGTTTTAAAATGTCGTTAAAAAAATATTTAAAAAAGAGAACAAAAATGAAAAATTATCATTTTATAGGATCAAATTCAAAAATAGTTTTTTTATTGCTCCTTTTTTCCCCGCTTTCGCCAACTTAACCCTAGTTTTAAGCGCCAACAAATGTCACGTGTCACACATCGGGTACTTTAGAGAAAGCAGAAATAAGAGTGTCTCCAGGTTTCAATAATTTTTTAGATTGAGAAGAATTTGCTAACTTTTGGCCATTATCCAAATATGGTTGCTAACTTTACGTCCGTATGATTCATTTAAACCTCACAAAAACTTAGTAATAGACCCAATCACGCTAGCTCGAAACAATAAAGACCCTAACAATCATTACAGATTCCGGTCGGATAATGGCTAAAATCGGGCTTTAATTCTAAGAGCGCGTGCCTAAGAAAATTCGCCATGCAACGAGGAGCGAATTATCTACATTATCGACAAGAAGAAGCCCAGAACCGAGGAAATAGTTTTCGGCTATAAACTAGATTCCGCCACTTCTTCCGGCTAAAACCAGGCCCCGAAAAATTGTGCCATTTAACCCCAGTTCTTAAATAATCAATTTTGAATTTTTTTATTTTTTAAATTATTAACCCACTTTTTGATTCATTAATAAATTAATATCATCTATTATTTTTAATTAATTCATTCAAAAAAAAAACAAATACATAAAAAAAAAACTGCCGATTAGAAGAAGCTATAAAAAATAAATAAAATAAATTAATAATGATAAATAATAAATATTAAAAGGAAGATGGGAGGGAAGGAAGGAAAGATAGATGAAAAATAAATGGGTGAAGGATGTTGCTCGAATGAGAGTTATACGCGAGATGAAATAAATGGGTGAAGGACATTTACTCCAATGAGCGTTTCGCGTTAAATATTGATAAAAAATAATAAAGTGGGGAAAAGGGATGGAAGGAATAATAAAGTGAATCGAATGCAAAAAAAAATATTGGTTAATTGAAGAGGAAAAAAAAATGTATTTGCAGAATTTGTACATTTAATTATTTGTGATATGAATACGAATTTGGCGCGAGAAACGCAAAAAAAAAATTAGAATTTAAAATATAACGCCCATAAAAGTAATATTCGATTAACTGACCTGTTCCTAATTCTAAATAAAATTCTTTAGAAGGTATTTTGGTTGCGTCCTTGAAGTAGATGATGCCGAACCGTGCCTATATATTTATTATAACGAGTTCGTTGCAAAAAGGTATATTTTTATTTACGAGTTGATTTTTTTATGAATTCCTAAAATCCGGGAAGATCATCTTAGCAAAAGCGCGGTAAAGATTGCTATACATTTACACAATTCTTCATTCTATTTCTTATATTCGTTACTTTTATAAAATTCATAGTTCCATTTAATAATGTTACTCCTTTTTTTTTTTTATCTTTTATAAATAACCTTGACAATTCGAAAAAATAGCAAATTTTTAACCGCCGTTAAACAATATATTGAATATATTTTTAAAAAAAATATATCATTTTGTTATTTTTAATAATTTGAGCTGCAAAAAGCCTTCAATAAAAAGTAGTAATTTATAATTAAAGAGTGTATAATATTAATAAAAATTCAAAGTAATAAATACTATTTTTTTTTAAATAAAATTATTTAATATTATATTTTATAATATATTACATAAAAACTCCAAGGATAATTTTGTGATTACTTTTATTAAATATCTTTAAAAAAAATCTAAAAATATTTTGCATTTTTTCATTTTATTTTTTATGTAACATTTGAAATAACTATTCATTTTAATTTTTTTTTACAAATTGACACCAAAAAAGTCGTGATAGATAAAAAAATAAATAAAATAGTTTTGTTAGAATCACTGAAAATGCGAATATCTTAGAATTCAAAAACGACCTTGTTAACGCGTTTCTTCTAAATTTCTAATCTCTCGAGATGCGTTGAAGGAACTTCATATATTTCCAGGAAACTTTAGGGATTTCGAAAAAGTTTTACAGAGAATCGGCAAAAGGGGATGGGCATCGATTAGAAGCCTTGAAATAATATTTACCTTGTCATAAACATACAACCCCCCCCCCCTTATTTCATTCCCAAATAAATCTCCTGATTTTTGTTATATCGTTTTTTTCAGCAAACTCATTGTTGTTCCCTGCTTTTCACTTTTCCTTCTCTTCTCGTTTCAAAAGATGAATACAAAAAAAAAAAATTTCAATCAATTTCGCGCCATTATCCATAAAAGAAGGCAATAAATATAATTATAAAAATATAATAACAAAAATGAAAATATTTTTGGAAAAAAAAATATAAAATCAAATCGACTGTAATATCGCCCCAAGGTCACCTTTTAGTATTCAAAAATCAGCGCCAAGGTTGAATCTCGCGCGATTTTTATTTTTTGGTAATTGGAATGTGTAAGAAAAATATAAAAAAAAAATATTTTATAAAAATTAATAATAATCATTATTTAATATCAAAAATTATCGAAGAATACACGTATATAAAGCAGCCATGTTTATTTTTTTTTTGGTTTCAAGGTAAAAAGACAGAAAGTATAGTGGGGGGGGGGGGTATGTATTATTTAATAATAAATGTATTTGAAAACATTGAATGAATGTTGAATAAATGAATGAATGTTGAATGGTGGCAAGTATTAAAATTGATACTGAGTTTACAAAAAATAATAAAACTATAAAATGAAATAAAAAGGGGGGGGGGGAAATGATATGATAGATAAAGACTTTTTATATTCAGCTTGAAATATAAGTCTCGCCTTTAAATTTGCTGACGTTTTGATATAAATACATATTATATAATTTGTAAGTAATATAAATGAGAGGCATGATGAGAGTCGAACCCGGTAACTAACCGTATATCCGGGAGTATAGAGCAATCCGGTCCGGGTTTGATCTGGGTCGGTCATATCAATTTACTTACTGCTGGAAAATCAGTCATAGATGAATCATTTAGCATTCATTTTGGTGTTCACAACTTACACAGTTAGCAATTCACAACAGACAAAATTATCTAAATAAGAATGACGAAATTTTTAAAAACCTTAAAAATTAAAAATGGTCGAAAAGGTAAGTTTATTTTGTGCGGAGGTATATTTTGTTTAATACAGTGCACGTTGGCTCATTTTATTTGGTTAAAAGGCCAAAGACGGCCATTTAATAACAAAACAAAATCGTCTGCGAAATGATTTCATGTTATTACGCGTTAGAAAAAGAAAAAACAATCTCGTGACTAAAAAAAAAATTAGTCATCAGGGCGAAAATATTTTCGAAGAAATTAAGTTAAATGCTAAGGTATGACGCATTATAATAAATTAATAAAATATTTTGGCTACTAAGCTTAAGACTTAAAAAATTCGAAATCCGCGCCAAAAAAAATGATATTTTTTACCAAAAAAAAGTTACGAAAAATTAACCTGTTTCCTGAGCACAACTCCTCTGGAACGCCAAAATTTCTTGAGAGCCCTTGGTAGTGAGAGATTCATCAATGGTGCTAATCATATTATCTTCTGCCAAGGCCGCCTATAATTAAAATTTAGTATTTGTTTTATCTAGGTTATAGCATTTAATTTTATATTGGTTTATAGATTATATAGAAATGTCAACTAACCCCAAAACTATTTGTCGAAGTAATTTAAGCAAATAATCTCATCCCTTCGTCATGTATTTGATTTATTTGCAAAATGAGGACTAATGGAATTGTTAGAATTATCGAATAATTCTTAGAAATTCGAAGCTAAATTTCTGAGAAATTTAATGATGCAAATTTCTGAAGAAATTCTTAGTCATTTTCTATGTGAATCTCAGACACATAACGGAAGTAGTAAAAATTGTTTGATTTAATAAAGGGGTTCAAAATATATTCAATATAAAGAAGAAAAAAATATATTTTATATAATATAATTAATTATTGAATGCATATGTGAAAAGGTTATATTTTTTATTTTGCAAAGGAATACCTAAATTTTATTTTCAAAAAAAAAGTTATTTAACCTCGGATGTTTGTTCAGAATAGAAATTCCATCGTGACGTAGCAATATCACGTGGTTTTTATTTTAAATTTCCAGGAAATAAACATTTAAAACAACTCTCTTATAGAGAAGAGAAAAGAAAAGAGCCATTTTATTTTATTTTTTTAAACACGAGATTCTAGAATTTTCTTTATATTATTTATAATGTAATTAAATTTAAATAATCCTCAAAAAAAACGGGGAATGTTTTCGAGACTAGCATTTTTTTTTACCATTTAGAAGGAATAAATAAATCACGTGATTGTATTTTTCTTTAACTTTGAACCCCTGCCTGATCATAACTTAACTACCGTAATTCTTAAAATTGCGGTTATCATAATTTCTTATCTTTAAAAAGTTTATCGTCTGCTTTTTATATTCTAAAAACATATGTAATTACACAAAATGTTCAATTAGTTATTAAGCACTTGTATACTAATGGTTCTAAAGGGGTAATCGTCTTTTTTTTAAAATTGATATATAATTACAAAAAATTATACATTGTTTAGCATGGATTCATTATCTTTGATATCCTCAGCAGTTTGTTGAATATCGCTATCGAGGTTTCCACCAGAATACTTATTGACCATAGGGTTGTTGCCTTTAAGTCGCAAAGTGCGTCTGCCTACACTCACATTGCCGATAATCGCGGGTGAAGTAGTTATGCAAGATCCATTTTCCTTATTGGCGATGACTCCGATGTTTAAAACCTTTTGATTATCGAGCAGCGACGAATTACCGGTTTCCGTGGGGAGTTCTTGGCCCGAATACTTGGCAAAAAGTTGTCTCAAATCTGGCGTACCCTCTAAATCCTCCGTGTCCGCTTCCGCCTGCAATTCCAAACGTTCCATCTCGGCTTCTTCCATCATATTCGCTTCTTCGAGGTCATCCTCATCTTCCAGAATATCGATATTGTTATTAGCAATAGTATCATTCGTTTGGTGATAATAAGACGTCCCCAATTGGTAAGAATGAGATGGAAGGTTCTTAGAAGAATGTGAATAGTAATCGTTATTCATAAAGGAATTCTGGGAATTAGAGGGGGTAGGGGAATCGGGATTGGTTTTAAAGGCGGAGTAAACTTTTTCGTAAAGCGCGGTACGCGAATCGACTCCGTGAGCCTTTTTGAGATGAGTTCTCAGATCGCTGGCGTAAGCGAAGGTCTGCCCGCAATCTTGGCACTCGTAAGGTTGACTCACTTTGTGTCGGTTTCGGTAATGCAGACGCAAATCGCAACTCCATTTGGTGCTATAGGCGCATAGCGTACAGTGCTTATCTTTTTCATGGGGCAAAACTCGCTTGTATACGGGTCGAGATGGGTAGGCGCCACTCGTGTTATGTGAGAGAAGATACTTATTTCTGATATTATTAATTGTATCGTGTTTATTATCTCTTGATGGGGAAGATTCGACGATGGTGAGGGGTGAAGGTGAGGAGGTAGAGTTGGAAGTGAGATTAGGAAGTATAGGCCGGTAAGACATGGCAGAGGTCGAAGGATGTTTCAGAATTATTTTGAGCTGGGTGTCCGAACAAGAGTCACCCTCTGGATGAGGCAATTGCCTAAGAGATTCTACGCAAGAACTTTGTTCCTCTTCAAATTTTTCGCTATCATCGGCATTCGGAAGATCGTCGTCGTCATTCGTTATGACATCTAGATCCTCGTTATAGGTAGTGTTGGTAGTCTGGGTATTTACCAAGGATTTCCTGAATGTCTGGGAAGATGGCAAAGTAGTGGAACGCCGGCCGTTGTGATGCCGATCCCTGTGCAAAATGATTCCTTGATTGCTGGGCGAGGAATACGAGCATTTATTGCATTTGAAGATAGAACGAACTGAATGCCGTTTGAGATGACGTTCGAGGTTGGGCGAGTAAAAAGTCGAGAAATCGCAATGCTTGCAATACATGGGGCCCTCGTCATGTTCGGCTCGATGTTTAACTAGTAGGGCTTTCGAGGGGGCTATGTAATTGCAATCCTTGCAACGCACAAATTTTTGTCCAGGTAGCAGGTCTTGTAAATGCTTGAAATGCTTGTTGGTCTCGTGCTGCAGAACTATGCGTTGTAAGTGATGCGAATAGGGGCAGTATCGACATTTGTAACTGCTGTGCAAATTAATCTCGTTATTGGATGATTCGGTAGTCGAATTTTCCTCGTCCATAGATGGTGCTAAGGAGATGTTTCCATCCGCGTTTATCGTAAAAGAATTTAAGCTTTTTCGGTCGATAGTAACGTTTTGGGCTAGAGAGGCTTGACCCATGCTGCCCAAAAAATTGAGTTTAAGCTTATTCAAATGAGCGGCATTTGATGATATAACATTATTTAGATTTGTGTTGCTGTTATTAGGGTTACCGTTGAGATCAATAATACTCTCATTTTCGGCGTTACTAAAAGTGGCAGAGTGTTGAGATCTCTCGTGATCCTTGACTGCTGATTGTGATCTGTCACAATACTGACAGAAACGGCATCGATATATGATCATTTTGTAAGTTGAGTTATCGGGAGATGACTGTTGTTGTTGAAGAGTGTTCGTTGGCTGAAGAGATGACAATGTAATGGGCTTATCATTTTGGAGGTACTGTTTGAGCAAAGGGAGATTTCCGACTGAATTAGCATCGAGCTGAGAGTTGCTCTTGGTTTGAATGGTCGTCGAATGATTGTAACTTTCGTGATCGAGCACAACTTGATTAATCCTATGGGAAAAGTGGCAAAATCGGCAGGAATACGTATTGAGTTGATTGGTCTTGTTGTTGGGTATATTCGATTGAATATTAGAAATGACACTCTCACCAATGTGAGAACCATTATTATTTTCTGATTTGACGGTTGTGATGGCTGAAGATGTGCTAGTCGTGGTGTAAAGTGAGACGGAAACATTTTTGATATCGACGGAGTTTATTCTGTGCTTGAGAGCTTGGTGCTGGATCAAGGCGTCGAGCGAAATCGTAACGTATTGGCAAAAATTACACTTAATTTCTGAAGTAGCATTGTCAGAGGGCTCAATTCTCTCCTTATTGACATAGTCGACGCTCGTTTTAGACGTATTTTGGTAAGGGGTGGTATTATTATCCTTGTAAGTGTTGGTGAATGATGATTTGATTCGGGAATCGTTGCTGTTATTACCGACATTTTTAGCATTTTGAAGGAGGTAATTGGTGGAGAGGTGAGAGGGCTTATTCATCAAAGCCTCAAACAACTTGGAATGTTTGATCGTGCCAGAATTGGGTGACATGGTAGACGTCTCAATTTCGACAGGAAATTTTGTCGAGTTCTGGATGGACTTCGATTGCATAAAAAAGGAGCTGTAATCGGAACCGTCATTGTCTGATAATCGTTTATCGTTTTGGTGAGTCTTTAGATACTGGAAGAGTTCATTTTTACCTTTGATTAAAATGGAGTCCACTGGATTATGAAGGCTTTGTTGGTTAGTATTGTTATTAATACTGCAACTTTGAGAATTCTGACTCGAATCCTCGAATATCGAGTTTTGCTGAGTTGCAAGATTCGTTTCTGGGTGCAGGGACTGCATGTGCTTGGTGAAGGCCGATTCAGAAATGAAAAAGGCCTCACAAATATCGCATTGGTATGTGCTAATGGCATTGCTTGCATTATTGATGTGTTTGGAACCAATGGTTAGTGTGTTGGAAGCAGTGTCATGTTGAGATGCAGCATTGTTAGCTTTGGAAAACAGAATTTGATAGGAAGGATTGGCTTCATTAGCTGGTGGCTGAATAATAGTTTTTCCACCATTGTTATTTATAAAATTATATAGTTTAGGGGAGGTGTTGAGTGGTATCTGAATCTGCGGATGATCCCTGACGTGATGTCGATAATCTAAATGTCTCTTTATGCTTTGCTTATATTCGGATATGAAATCGCAGAGAGGGCACTTGAAGTTTAGCTTGGCAGGAGCTCCAATGGCAGAAATATTGATCTTGGAGATATTGTTGAAAATCTCAGTTACACTTTTAAACCTGAGCGGACTGTTGATGTTTATGACATTGTGGGGGAACTCATTACTGATTGAATTATTATCGCTAGAACTTTCTCTGGGAATATTGTGAAGTTCTAATAAATGTTGTTTAAGTTGGGCTATGTCATCAATGGAAGCTATGTGAAAATTGCAATATGGGCATTTTATGAATTTATTGTCAGATTGTGGAAGAAGTGAGGTGTTGCCATTATAATTGTTCTCATTCATATTATTATGACTCATACTGTTATGTGACTCGTGGTTATCGTTGGAATAAATATTTTGATAACCTAGTGCATCTTTTGCTATAGAGTATTTTTTTTTATAAAAATAAGTAATTTATGTTAGTTCTGCAGCACTGGTCTGTCCCCAGCTCATAAAAACGTCAACAATAAAAGTCCCATTATACTTATCTTTCCTTTTCATTTTTTTTTCCTTTCTTATCTGATCCAATATCATGATTGTAAAATAAATTTAAATGATAAGAAATGTTTCAAAAAAAAAATTAGAAAATGATTTTCATATAATATTTTGTAAAAAACAT